CGGTTATCGGCTACATGAGTTTTAAAATATCGGCATATCGGATATCGGCCAAAATCCCAATATCGTGCATCCCTATTCTCAATAGATATTAGTATTCAAAAATCATGACAGAAAGAATCTGTTAGTACAAAGATTAATGTTTAAAAAGGTAGGGGACCAGCCAACAACCAGCCACGGACCAATCTAGGAAAGTGGGGAAATCTTGAATGGCTACTACAGTGTGGAAATTATATATTAAGGATAAAGCTGCGCTCATTATTCCTTTGCCCGGAATCCTTGAGAACGATGAGAGAATGAGTTTTAACCCCTGAATTTATTCACATTAACATAGTATTTTCAAATGGAGAGAAAATAAACCTCTATGTAGCACCTTTCAAGTGATTACTGAACATCAAATATAATCACAATTAATTAGCTATTGTTTACCTGTCCATCAAATGGAGTGAAGTGTTTGTAAGGAAGAAGAAAGAGTCATTTGGAAGTGGGAGAACTTTTTTTCTTAAGCCTCCTTCCAGCCTCAGAGGAATTAATGCCAGCTGACTTCTAAGACCTCACAACTCTTTGCTGAAAATACCAATGAAATGCAGCAGTATCAGAAGGTTTAAAATTCTTTAGAGCCAAGGTGTGAAGTGTGTGTATGTGTGCAGCATAGAAAGACGATAAAGACCTTAATACTGCAGAGCATTCCAGTCAAATACACAAAGACATACAGAATTTATTGATATCGGGGGAAAAAAGGGTAAATGCCTTGAGGTTGAGTTACTGTTCTGAGCAGGATAAAGGAACATGAGAATTAACAGCTTTTTAAGATTTTCTTAAATGGTTCTGAACAGCCCTGAAGCAACATTAGTTGAATAACGTAGATGTACAGATTTTTTTTTTTGCCTAAGCCCCACCATGAATCCCCCAAAGGTGATTACATTTCCAGTAAATTATTAGTGCTGCAATACTGGCTTATGCTGGAAGTGTTTACACCACCGAGCAGTAAGCCTACAAGCAAAAAAAAAAGAAAAAATAAACATAGAAAATCAAAGCGTGTAAGGACAGGTGTGACCTAAATGAGTTTCAAGAGAGAACGCTGGATGGATGGGGGAGCTTGGCAGTGAGACGCACTCACCATCAGAGACCTTCAGGCATCAATCATTCCTGCTGAGCCTGTCAGGAAAACGTTCGGCCCGTGGCCAGCAGGCAGGTGCTGAACCCGCCAAAGGAGGATGAGAGTTAATGCTGGCCAACCTGTTGTCATCCTCCCACAATTACCAGCACAACTGGCTTTAAGGTAATGACAGCTTAATTGTAATTCCACTCACTTCCATACAGCACTGCAGTTTGTTGTCATGGGGTCTGATGACAAGGTTAGATCAAGATGCATCGCAAATACTTTTATTACCTTGATTACCTTGGCTATGGTTCAAAGTGAACTGCCTACTCTATGTGCACTGTATTTAATAAAAGTGAACACCCAACTCCCCATATTTTATGCTTTACTTACAATATTTTTCTTTAAATATTTATTCATCATTTATGATTAGATATTTAATTTCTATTGATATTTTGTTATTTCTAGTATAACGATTTACAAAGGTTGAAAAGAAATGAAATGAAATTTATTCGAACATGATACACAAATATAAAAATAAAATAGTGCACAGTAACAAGAAGTGCATAAAAAAGAAGAGAAAAAATACAGATATTTGTTTCAATTAACATATCATGCTCAAAATGGGGTAGGAAGAAGTGAAAACTTATTAACTCCTACCCCCTAAACACTTGAAAGCTTACAGTCCTACTGTTATTAAAAAAATCAAAGTCAAGTGAAAGTTAAAGTGGCAGTTAGCAGTTACTGTAATATTTACCAAAACATTTCCCTTTTTATGCTGGTTTGTCTTTCCAAACCCTTACACCAAGTTGTTATCTTCAATACACACATTTTTGCTTTCTCTCACTCATATGTCTATCTCTATTGAAAATGACCTTCTTATATTTTCTTTTGAATTTTATTAAACTATTGCTTTGTTTTAAATCTTCATTTAAGTTGTTCCATAACTTTACACCTTTAATTGAAATACAGAAGCTTTTTCTTGTTGTTCTCAACTTGCGCATCTTTAAAGGAATAGTACACCCAAAACATGATTAGCCTTCATTTTCTACTCACCCCCATGCTGAACAACACTCTGGAGTACTTTTTTGATATCTCAAATGCATCTGGAGATCTGGGAGGCTTCTTGCTGTCTGCTGACATTCAAATAATGGAGGTCTATGGCGCCCGAGGCAGAAAGGTCCATAAAAGTCCACAAAAAACGTGTCAATATTCCTCCATACTGCTCGTCCAATGTATTCCAAGTGTCCTGAGTGGGTAGCATCCAGAATTTACTCGAAACGAAGTCATTTAGAATGTTTTTAGAGCATAAACAGTAGTGTATAGGATTTCCTAAAAGCGCGCGCCTGCGAGTTCACGAGTCTACGGAAACCGCGGCAGACCAAACCAGATGAAAGTGCGCATTCAGCTCGGCAAAGAACTCATGCTCTTCCTCAACACTGAAGTCCTCAGACATTTTTCTTTCGTTGTTTCTTTCTTTGCACAGGTAAACAGCACATTTCTTCTTCTACGCTTGCATTATCGGCAGAGCAGACGCTGAATGCGCACTTTCATCTGGTTTGGTCTGCCGCAGTTTCCGTAGACTCGTGAACTCGCAGGCGCGCGCTTTTAGGAAATC